GAACTAAAGAGCCTCTTGATGAAAGTGAAAGAGGAGAGTGAAAAAAATGGCTTAAAGCTCAACATTCAGAAAACTAAGATCATGGCATCTGGTCCCATCACTTCATAGGAAATAGATGGGGATACAGTAGAAGCAGTGTCAGACTTTATTTTTCTGGGCTCCAAAATCACTGCAGCTGGTGACTGCAGCCATGAAATTAAAAGACGCTTACTCCTTGGAAGAAAAGTTATGACCAACCTAGATAGCATATTAAAAAACAAAGACATTACTTTGCCAAAAAAGGTCCGTCTGGTCAAGGCTATTGTTTTTCTAGTGGTCATGTATGGATGTGAGAGTTGGACTGTGAAGAAAGCTGAGTCCTGAAGAATTGATGCTTTTGAACTATGGTGTTGGAGAAGACTCTTAAGAGTCCCTTGGACTGCAAGGAGATCCAAGGAGATCCAACCATTACATCCTGAAGGAGATAAGTCCTGGGTGTTCATTGGAAGGACTGTTGCTGAAGCTGAAACTCCAATACTTTGGCCACTTCATGTGAAGAGTTGACTCCCTGATGCTGGGAGGGATTGGGGGCAGGAGGAGAAGGGGATGACATGGATGAGATGGCTGGATGGCATCACTGACTTGATGGACATGAGTTTGAGTCAACTCACAGAGTTGGTGATGGACAGGGAGGCCTGGCATGCTGTCATGGGGTCGCAAAGAGTTGGACACCACTGAGCGACTGAACTGAACTGAACTGAGTGGCAAAGTGGTTCATAGCATATTTGCTAGGGGATATGGTTTTAAATGAATCTTTAAAGTCTAACTAAGTACTGTACAAGTGTTCCACTAAGAAAATATTCTAGTAGTTGAAAGAGCATATACTTAGAAAATAAGTAAACTTAATTCAGGAAAATGCTGATTCCAAGTGATGCCAATAAATGAATGGTGAGAATAAACCTATATGAAGAAGAAATACATCCCCTTAAGGACTGATAAAGGAAACTTCTTGTATATAATCACATTACACCCTCTAGTTCACTTATCACTTACGTTTGCAATACCATAGCTGCCTGTTTTCATGTATATATATATATATTTTTTGAAGGACAATTGCTTTATAGAATTTTGCAGTTTTTTGTCAAACCTCAACATAAATCAGCCATAGGTATACATATATCCCATCCCTTTTGAACCTCTCTCCCATCTCCCTCTCCACCCACCCCTCAAATAGAGCCCCTGTTAAGAGTTTACTGAGTCATACAGCAAATTCCCATTGGTTATACATTTGGGGTTGATTTTTGTAGATCTTTTTTCTTCTGTTGTATTTCTTGACTATACAAGTCCATTTCACATTTGTTGTAAAGCTGGCTTGGTGGTACTGATTCTCTTTTGCTTGTCTGGAAAGTTGTTTATTTCTCCATCAATTTTGAATGAGATCCTTGCTAAGGACAGTAATCTTGATTGTAGATTGTTCCCTTTCAGTACTTTAAATATATCCTGCCATTCCCTTCTGGCCTGCAGAGTTTCTGCTGAAAAATCAGCTGTTAAGCATATGGAGTTTCCCTTGTATGTTACTTGTTGCTTTTCCCTTGCTGCTTTTAATATTCTTTCTTGGTGTTTAGTCTTTGTTAGTTTGATTAGTATGTGTCTTGGCATGTTTCTCCTTGGGTTTATCCTGTATGGGACTTTTTGTGCCTATTGGACTTGATTGACTATTTCCTTTTTCATGTTGGGGAAATTTTAAACTATAATCTCTTCAAAAATTTTCTCATACTCTTTCTTTTTCTCTTCTTCTGGGACCCCTATAATCTGAATGTTGGGGTGTTTGATATGGTCCCAGAGGTCTCTGAGACTGTCCTCAGCTCTTTTCATTCTCTTTACTTTATTCTGCTCTTCAGAATTTATTTCCACCATTTTACCTTCTAGCTCACTGATTTGTTCTTCTGCTTCAGATATTCTGCTATTGATTCCTTCTAGAGTATTTTTAATGTCAGAAACTGTGTAGTTTGTCTCTGTATGTTTATTCTTTAATTCTTCTAGGTCTTTGTTAATTGCTTCTTGCATTTCCTCCATTTTGTTTGCAAGGTTTTGATCAACTTTACTATCATTATTCTGAATTCTTTTTCAGGTAATTTTCCTATTTCCTCTTCAATTCTTTGGACTTCTGTGTTTCTAGTTTGTTCCTTCAATTGTGCAGTATTTCTCTGCCTTTTCTTTTCTTTCTTTTTTTTTTTTTTTTAAAGTTACTGTGTTTGAAGTTTCCTGTTCCCAGGCTTCAAGAAAGGTTGAATTCTTTCCTTGAAGAAGGTTGAATTCTTTCTTCCTTTTGGTTTCTGCCCTCCTAAGTTTGGTCTACTGGTTTGTGTGAGCTTCATAGAGGGTGAGATTTGTGGTGAGTTTTTGTTTGTTTTTGTTTTTCCTCTGATGGGCAAGACTCAGTGAGGTGGTAATTCTGTCCGCTGATGACTGGGTTTATACTTTTGTTTTGTTTGTTGTTTAGATGAGGTGTCCTGCACAGGACGCTACTGGTGGCTGGGTGATGCCGGGTCTTGTATTCAAGTGGTTTCCTTTGTATGATTTCTCTCTATTTGATATTCCCTAGGGTTAGTTCTCAGCTTGTCTAGGGTCTCGGAGTGAGTTCTCCAACTCCAAAGGCTCAGGGCTTGATCTCTGGTCAGGAAGGAAGATTCCACAAGTGGTTTGTTATGGTATTAAGTGAGATTAAAACAAATATCCAAAAACAAGAAACCAAGGATGAAAAGTGGAAGTGAAGTTGCTCAGTCGTGTCGGACTCTTTGCGTCCCCATGGACTGTAGCCTACCAGGCTCCTCCGTCCATGGGATTTTCCAGGCAAGAATACTGGAGTGGGTTGCCATTTCCTTCTCCAGGGCATCTTCCCAAACCAAGGATTGAACTCTGGTCTCCCTCATTGCAGGCAGACGCTTTACCGTCTGAGCCAGCAAGGAAGCCCGCAAAGGATGAACCCCAGACAAATGGCAGTTACAAAATCAGGCAAATAATAATTAAAATAATGGAATATACACATAAACATATACGCCCATGAGCAAAGTAAAAACAGTCCAACAAAAATAAAATGCAATAGATTGACCCGCTGAAAAAGGAAACCAAAAATTACAGAACAAAACTAATTAAAGCACAAACTGGAAAACAAAACTAAAGCAAGGTGCCACTGGAGGATAAAGCAATGAAAATAAAATTAACAAATATGTTCAGAGGAAAGGAGAGAAAGAAAGAATAGATATGAAAAGTTAAATAGAATTAGATAAAGAAGATATATGTATATGTTAAAGATTAACTAAAGGGAAAAAATAGTAATAGGTTTAAAAATTAAAATTAAAAAAGAAAAAAGAAGAAAAAAGAGGAAAACTCCACAGAACTGCAAACGCCCAATGTAGCAGCAGAGGTTTATGACAACAATAAAAAATGTGAGGAAGGAAAAAAAAAGGTAGCTTAATTGGATTTCTTAGTGTCTATAAAATCAACAACTACAACAGAGGCGGGGTCTGGGAAGGAATAAAAAAAAGGGAAAAAAAATCCGAAAGTATCTACAGAACAAGTCAAAAAATAAAATAGTAGTTTTTCTTGCGTCACTGCTGTCAGAGTCCTTTCTTGCGCTAGGAATCACAATCCACGTCACCTCCTAGGATGCCCTCCCACACTGTGCTGATCTCTGGACCTGTTGTGGGGGCCGCTCAGATTCTAATCTGGTCCTACACATACGTGTTCTTACCTCCAATGTCCACAGCTATCAGAGCTAGTGCATTTGCTTTTGTGGGCTCTCTCAATGACCTTTTATATATTCCATAGACACAGAATCTGCCTAGTTGATTGTGTGGATTTAATCTGCAGCTTGTACAGCTGGTGGGACGCTTTGGGTCTTCTTCCTTAGCCACACTGCCCCTGGGTTTCAATTGTGGTTTGATTTCCACCTCTGCATGTGGGTCATCCACTGGGGTTTGCACCTGAGGCTGCCCTGGCGGGCTTGGGTTTGCCACTGTGAGGGCCAGGTGTGGAGGTGATGCAGCTGCTTGGGTCACAGTGGTTCTGGCAGCACCAGGTACTCAGCGGAGGTTGTGGCTAGGGCAGCAGGAAATATACTGCTCTAGGAGGGTATGGCAACCCTTCTCTAGAAGGGTATACGCTCCAGGATTCTTTCCTGGAGACCCCCCCCTCAGACAGAGAAGCCTGGCAGGCCACAGTCTACAGAGTCGCAAAGAATCGGACAGGAGTGAAGCGACCCTGCATGCATAAATGCAAGACTTTTTTTTTCTTTTTTTTGGCCTGCGGCAGCTCTGCCCCAGTGAAAGTTGAGCGTGAAGGTGGTGCTGCTGCTTGGCTTGTGGGGACGCTGGTGGTGCCAAGTGTGCAGGAGCTCGGACTGCCTCTGCCGCAGGAGTTATGGCCCTATCAGAGTCTTTTTTCGAGCCTTTTGTAGCTGGCAAACAGAAGGTCTTTTTGGCCAGTCTTTCTCTGTAGCTCTGCCTGTTCAGACACTTAGAGGGCTCCCTTGCCTGGGGTCCTTCTCTGTTGTTTGGCACATCAGGCACTTAGAGGGGCGCCCTGGATAGGGTCCCACTCTGTAGTTGAGTGTGTCAGGAATTTGATGGGCCAGCCTCTCCATTGTTCAGCTGCCAATGCTGGTAAGTGGGGCGAGAGAGACTGTGGTGACGGCTCCAACCCCTACGCCTGGCCCTGCAGTATCTCCTTGCTTCCACGGCTGCCTGGCTTTCCTCCACTGGCATTTCCCACCACGATCTCCTCCCTCACATCCCCTCAATCTGTCTCTGCGCAGTCAACAGCAGCCCTTGCCCTGGGATTGCTCCACAATCCCTTAGCTCCCAGCTGCTGCCCCTTCCAGGAGACCAGCACCTCTGTCCGGGGTATGTATGGCTGCGGCAAGGTCTGTCAGATTCTCATTCCATTTAGGCTGCCACTGATCAGCTGTTTCACTCTTGGCCTTGAATGTTTCTCCTCTGATTCAGACAATTGTCCCTGTATGGGGATGGGACCCCTGCTTCAGTTCCCCCACCTGCCGAGGGCAGGTCCAGTCCTACTAACACCTGTTTTTCCCCTAGTTCCTTTGTTTACTGAGTTTTGTGTGGTTCCATATATTCTTTTCCACTAGTCAGGTACCCTGCTCTCAGCTGGCATTCTGCATGCACTTCTGTGTCCGAAGGTGTATTCCTGATGTATCTGTGGAGAGAGATGTACTCCACATCCACCTACTCTTGCACCATCTTGTTCTTTACATGTCTGTTTTATATTGGTCTTTCATTTCTGCTAAGACATATTATGTCTACCTTGTTTATAATTTTGCTTTTAAAGACATAGGAGACTGTCTGGCTCCTAATGATTCAATTAATAAGTACATATATAGTTATAATCAGGTGATTTGTTTTTCCAGATTGTTTATACCTCACTCAACTCCTCTTCATAGACAAGAAAGACAGAGTGGAAGACTTGAAACAGAAGTCTAACATCCTCTGTCAGAAGTGCTAAAGGGATGACTCTCATGGAAAGAGAAGGATAGAACATTGGTTATATTCTGAAATTGAATTATATCACTTTAACTTTTTTTTTTACTTAAGGCTGTATTCCAAAAGAATGATGTATTTAAATATTGATTATTAAGATCATGATGACTATTTATTATTGCTTTATAACAAAAGATATTAAACAATGAGGAGCTATCCTTGGAAAACTAAAGAAACCTTTTAGCATTATTAACTAAACAATAAGAGGTGTACTATGACACCAGTGTCTGGGTGATTCAGTGTTTTTATTCCATAATTGAGTCTACTTGACCAATAGACCTGAAGACCCAGACTCTTATTAGTAGAGTAATGCTGACATTTTTATACACATTTTAAAGACTCTAGTGGCTATTGATTCTTAAATCTAAACTTTAGATTGAGAAAGTATCATTAATTTAAAGATTTAAGTATGTCTTTAAATTTCAACACCAAGCAGAGAGAATATATATTTCATTTGGAGATCTGTGATGCTGAGAATGTCATTATAAGGAGATTGGATTTGAGCTGAGTTTGATTAGATCCCCCTACACACAAGATAGAGAGAAGACCCACAGATTTTAAATTCTGGGGGAAAAATTATGACTGCAGCATGTAGAAAAACATCATGTAAACATTTTCAGGAATTATCAGATTGTAAATTGACTCCCAGAGGACCCAGGAGAAAACTGGCAGGAAGTAAATCAAAAAAAGTAAGTTTGGTTACACAGGTTAATGAATGCCAAATTAAGAATTGTAGTTTTCCCTGGAAGCTCAGTGGTAAAGAATCCACCTGCCAGTGCAGGAGATATGCATGCGTTCAATCCCTGATCTGGGAAGATCCCACATGCTGCAGAGCAAATAATCCCATGAGCCACAACTATTGAGTCTGTACAGTAGCACCTGGGAGCCACAGCTACTGAAACCTGTGTGTCCTAGAGCCTGTGCTCCACAAGAGAAGCCGTGGCAATCAGAGACCTGTGCACCACAACTAGAAAGCAGCTCCCACTCAATACAACTAGGGGCAAGCCCACACAGTAACAAAGACCTAGCATGGCCAAAAAATAACAAAAAAAAAATTATTTTTTGAACTTTAAGATCAAACAATCCACAGAGTGTTTCTGACCAGAGTTCCATTCCTAAAGGGAAATATGGGGAACCACTAGTAATATCTACTGACTATGTCTGGGATGGCAAGCTAGAGGAACTGAAGTATTGAAACAAACTACTGGCTGACTCTGCCTAAGCCCCTCAACTTAAAAATACTCATATGGTTGTTGTTTAGTCATTAAGTCATGTGTGACTCTTTGTAATCCCATGGACTCTAGTTTGCCAGCCTCCTCTGTCCATGGAATTCCCCAGGCAAGAATACTGGAGTGGGTTTCTATTTCTTCTCCAGAGGATCTTCCAGACCGAGGGGCTGAACTCAAGTCTCCTGCTTGGCAGGTGGATTCTTTGCCACTGAGTCACCTGGGAAGTCCAAAAATATTCATATATCTCAGTACAAACTGTGACAGATTACACTGACTTATAAGGAGTAAATTCAAATGAATTACCAATCAAAAAATGGGACAAAGAACTAAACAGACATTTCGCCAAAGAAGACATACAGATGGCTAACAAACACATGAAAAGATGCTCAACATCACACATTATCAGAGAAATGCAAATCAAAACCACAATGAGGTACCATTACACGCCAGTCAGGATGGCTGCTATCCAAAAGTCTACAAGCAATAAATGCTGGAGAGGGTGTGGAGAAAAGGGAACCCTCTTACACTGTTGGTGGGAATGCAAACTAGTACAGCCACTATGGAGAACAGTGTGGAGATTTCTTAAAAAACTGGAAATAGAACTGCCATATGACCCAGCAATCCCACTTCTGGGCATACACACCGAGGAAACCAGATCTGAAAGAGACACGTGCACCCCAATGTTCATCGCAGCACTGTTTATAATAGCCAGGACATGGAAGCAACCTAGATGCCCATCAGCAGACGAATGGATGAGGAAGCTGTGGTACATATACACCATGGAATATTACTCAGCCATTAAAAAGAATTCATTTGAATCAGTTCTAATGAGATGGATGAAACTGGAGCCCATTATACAGAGCGAAGTAAGCCAGAAAGATAAAGACCATTACAGTATACTAACACATATATATGGAATTTAGAAAGATGGTAACGATAACCCTATATGCAAAACAGAAAAAGAGACTCAGATGTATAGAACAGACTTGTGGACTCTGGGAGAAGGCGAGGGTGGGATGTTTCAAGAGAACAGCATTGAAACATGTATATTATCTAGGGTGAAACAGATCACCAGCCCAGGTTGGGTGCATGAGACAAGTGCTCGGGCCTGGTGCACTGGGAAGACCCAGAGGGATCGGGTGGAGAGGGAGGTGGGAGGGGGGACCGGGATGGGGAATACATGTAAATCCATGGCTAATTCATTTCAATGTATGACAAAAACCACTGCAATGATGTAAAGTAATTAGCCTCCAACTAATAAAAATAAATGAAAAAAGATATTCAAAGGAATGAGTTATTGGTTTTGAAACAAGTCAGTTTAACATTCATTAAAAAAGAGTTATCCACTATATGATCACAAAGGTCAACCAATATCGGGAAATGTTTAGCTTGTCTTTCTTGCTTTTTCTTTACAAAAGCACATAATTTACCCTCTAAAGCTAATTTAGAATTGTGACTTTGGCTTTTACTTTTACTACATCAAAGACTTTATACCTTAGCACAGGCTGTGCATTTTATTTTTTTATTTATCTTTATTTATTTTTTTATTTCAGAGGAGCTTTTATTTTTTTTTTCCATTTATTTTTATTAGTTGGAGGCTAATTACTTTACAATATTGTAGTGGTTTTTGTCATACATTGACATGAATCAGCCATTATACAGAGTGAAGTAAGCCAGAAAGATAAAGACCAACACAGTATACTAACACATATATATGGAATTCAGGCTGTGCATTTTAATCTCAGTATTCAGGAGTCTGGGAACCCTACTAATAACATCACAAATTAGTGGGAGAGCTTCAGGGATGGGTACTTGACATTCAAGCACCATTTTCATAGACTTACCAATTTATGTTTGACTCCAGTCTAATTTTTCCTAGTATTCATTTCCTTTGCACTTTTCAAAGCACTGTCTATACATCTGAAAATTTTCAGTTCGGTTTTCTCAGGAAGTAACACTGTTGTAAGTAATCCTGAATGCTAGTTACATAGAGAATCCAACCCATGA